CTACTGTACAGCAGAGCGACTTTTTTTAATTTCTAGATCCGAGTCTGGTAATTTTGTCATTTATTTCGCGATTGAAATTATATTTGAATGTTTATTTAAACTTTGGTAATCACAATTCAGGCTTTTAATTTTAAGTCTATTCTACTGATTGCAGTAATATATTATAATAGACACACGATTACTATACCTATAAATTACAATGTACCTACCTAAATATTTATCTGTTTTTGAAGGACAATAATATTGGGGCTTATTGTAAGTATAATGCAGTAGGTATAGGTACTTAACTGTATTGATAAGACGTCAAGTGGAACGGGAGTAAATGAATGCCCTGGTGCAAAAAAAAATATAGGTTGCAAAAAAAAATTGTGTTCTCGCTCTTGTCAATAACTGTTGATGTTGAAGTGTGTCGTTCTTAAGTTTTGTTAGTTTTAATATGTTATACTTCAAAACTTTTATAATATTTAGCATTTACTGAATAATAATTGCAATTAATTACTATATTTTGATTTTTAAATATTATTTTAGGAGCTAACCAAATCCTAAGGGAGGCGATAATTTCTCTCGAAAGTCAAAACCACCACTATATTGCTACTATGATTTATGATAGTAATTTTGGCCTACACACGAGTTTTTCTCAGTGAGGCCCAGTAATTATTTTGGTATTAATTTAAATTAAAAATATATATATATTATATAGATATACGTTACGACCGCAGGTGTACTATAGTTGTATATGACAGATATTGTTATAATAAAATATCGAGTGTACCCTATAAAAAAATGATGTTTGATGAATTTCTTAAAAATTTAATTGCTTATGAAAAAAATGTGACAAATTATTTTTAATATTTTTTAACTAAGACATTAACAATTTATGAGAAACCTTGTATTATATATTATTATTGCAGAGCTTTTTAACTGAAAAACAAAAATTGTATCATACATTCATTATCATTTATACAAAAATCGATGAAAACTAAAAAATTAGACAATGTTAAATATGTATAAATATAACTTGACAGCACTAAATGAGCCGAAAATTTTAAGAATGATATCATATTGTCTAGTAAATTATAACACTAATATTATGAAAAATAATAAACATCATAGGTAAATCATATAGATTCATCATTCCGCTCAGAATCTAAAATAGCAATAGGTACCTAATTAAAATAATTTATAAATTGAAATAGACAATATTTATTACTTATACATTTATTATATTTGGTAAATACTATAAAATACTATTAAGTACCTACTACCACTACGGAACTACCTATTAAATAAATATTGTTCCCTATCAATAATTTGTACACATGAATCATAATATATATTGAGTGTGATTTAGTTTAATATAGTCTATATACTATAGATTGGAAATATAAAGTATACACTGGTTACTAGATTATTAAAGTCTATTGACTTTATAACAAATATTAAATGTTCCGGTGTTTCCGAATTGCGGACAAAGTGACAAAAACCATGTGAGTTGCGGACGAAATCTAAATAGGGAACATACGAATTGCGGACACAAATATGAGATACTAATTGCGGACAAATTTCCTATTATTATTTTTGATATAGCGATCGTGGACGTTGGGAACTGTTTAATACTAACGATTAAGATTGTGCCGGTGCTTTTGAAACCGCTGCCTATATGTTTAATCAGTTTATCGACAACCATACTCGCTGGCTGTTCGTTTGATGTTCGTTTATTCTCTGTATAAAAATGTATAGTGAAAAACTTAAAGAGTTACATGTGGTTGACGAGTTTAAGTTACGTTTTCATCGCATAATGAAAAATGAAATTCAACGGTGGGCTTGTACAAATAAAAGGTGTAATGCATTTTTAAAATTTAATCATCCTAATTTTTATCAATTGATCGATTCCTTAAATGAAGTACAGACTAGTAGCTATATGAAAATGAATTGTTCTGCTGTACTAAATTTAAAACGAGCAAAAAAAAAAACTATTGAAAAGGAGGCATTTATTAGCAAACAAATGTTGCAATATTCACGTGGTGAAATCAGTAGAATGTCATATATACAGGCTGTTTGAAAAAAAATGTTACCACAAGATCTATAAAAACTATGACGATAAATAATGACGATAACCTATAAATATTTTATAAACAATTTTTTCCACAAAATTAAAACAATAAATAATTCAACAACATTTAAAAAATAATAACGATTGCTCTTTTGCAAGACAAATATTTTTAACCCCACCTACCCATTTTTTCGGTAGCTTGTCCTAAGTCCTGAAAAAGTGGTGAAGGGAAATATTTGTGTCCACAACTAACGTGGTTTTTATTAAAAAAAGCTCTGCACGCAATTAGAATTATGACAACGAAACTCGTGTCCGCAATTGTTATGTTATAATTCCTGACCTGAATAATTCGTCCGCAACTAGTATGTGTCCAAATGTTCACGGTATTCATAATCGTTTTACAAGTAATAAACTATTAACTAATTACCCACATGTGTTGTCTCCGTCTTACAAATGAGTAACATAACAAATTTTACGCTCAGCAGTACATGTGTAGCTACGTTAATTTAAAAATTAGAGCGAGCCGACTTCGTATAAAAATCTAAAGTTAAGATTATTATCGAGGCTAAATCATGGGCTTTTTAATATATTTTAATTTTAAAGCGAGTTTTAAGTATTTTAAGATGTACAAACAATTTACAATTCTAAAATACTCATAATTGCCTTATTAAAATATAATGAAAACCCTATGAGGTTGCCTAGATAATAATATTACTTTTAGATTTTATAAGAGGTTGATTCTCTCTAATTTTTAAACTAACAGAGCTACCCGTGTTCTGCTGAGCATAAAAATTTGCTACCTATGTTAAGTACAGAGAACACACCTGCGGATATCACATTATCTTAATTGATTCTGATTAAACCAAATCGCCTAATAATATTAAATTATTTCTTATACCTTATATATTGTATAATATATATATATATATGGATTACTTTATTAGTATATAAAATAAATCCAAATATAGCCAATAGCAATATAAAATATAGACATGGTTTCAACAAAACTGAACAATGACGGTCGTGACCAAAATACCTACCAAATACTAATTACTAATAAGTACCTATAGGCTATAACTAATAGTTAATACATATACAGTATTATTTTCCAACCAACTTCCCAAGCGTTATTATTATAATTTATTAACGATTATCGTAATTCAAGGCTATATTTACCAGTTTTTCGGAGATCTCAAAATCATAATTTATATTTTATTTTATTTGTCTACTGCTCAGTGCTCCCTAAGTCCTATTTAAAAAAATATAGTTAACTTATATCCGTCGACTTGGCAAGTGGTAAATAAATAGGTAAATAATTAATTGCCCCCCATTGTCTTAGTTATTGTAGTTTCTCAGAAAAATGTACATTAATAAACTTAGTTTGGTATAAGCAAATGTTGCTCGTTTGTGTTAGGAATTAATATTTTATTATAAATAACATACCTAAATAATTTTTTACTATATTTTTTTTCGGCCTAAAAATTTTTTGGGTGGCTCAGCCTTCAAAAGCTTTTTTTTTCTAGACTACTGAACACACGTATAACCAATATTAACCCGAATAATAACGGTTATGAAAACCTATGCGTTTGTTTAAATTTTTTATTCCGATGTTTGAACACCCGAATAAATCCAGCACTTTAAACCAGAAACCCGAATACCTAAATGTTTCGGGTGCTATGCCCTGGTTAGTATTGTTCATTATTTGTTTAGACTACCTAGGTCATGACGTGTATGATGTGTGGTATATTTGTGTGCCTATATATAAAGTGATATAATATGCAACAATGAAAATATTAAAAATTAAAATTAGCACAAATTTAAAAAATATTGTAAAATTACTTGTGGGTAAATAATGCACCATATTGATGAGATGAGTAGAAAAATATATTTTATTTATTAAATGCTGATACATTTAGACTTTCATACAGTGTTAAATACTTACCCAGGTTTTAAAAAACTTAATGGGTGCCTTGGTATCATAGGCATAAATGTACAATTTTTGGGGAGGGGGTAGCCACTGGTCAAGACAATGTCCCCATAAAACTAAAAAAATGGATTGAATTTTCAGGGGGCTAGTTACAATTTAACCCCCTAAAATTTTAACCTAAAATTCGAAAGTGCCGAAAAAGATTATTCCGAAGTATAACACGATACCGGAACAGTCAAAATTTGGTTGTTGGATAGTTGTAATTGAATATCTACCTCGATGTAGGTTAGTGGTTACCAAAACTTTACTATCTTACATTTTATTATCAATACAATTTATTTTTGTTTTCAAAATTTCAAAATTGCAATTTTTATCACAGCTGGAATTTTATTTCAATACCTAGTCGTTTGCTAAAATTGTTGAAACTTGGATATAAATACACGTTATACATTTTCAATATTCTAATGGGTGCCCAGCATCCCATTATAATTTTAATGGGTGCCTGTGCTCCCGGGCATCCATGTACCTGGCGCCTATGTTTACACTTATTCAGTTTTGGGATTAACAATTATAATGCATTTAATATAACATATTTCTGACAACCTATAATAGTTTAACCTTTGTGCAAATATGCTTTTTATTTATTTCATCTCAAGTATTATTTAAATGTAAACTAAGTATAGGTAATAAGTAATAATTAATAAGGATATATACATTTAACTGCTTGCAGTTTCGATAACTTCATGTAGTCATAAATCAGGAGTTATATAATAATTTGGACATAGCTGGAATATACTTATCCATAATGCCTACAATGTACGTAAGAGCCATTTCTAAATTTAGTTTTCAGAAACAATAATTAATAAAATGTTCAAGGTGTAGGGTTATTGAAATATATATTGTTATTATAGTAGAGCCTAACGTTTTCAATACCTAGGTAAACTGTTCAAGTTTGCGATGACATTTCGTTAATTAATAATAAGCAACTTTTTAAAAAAATGAACTGTATGTATAGCATACCTCCTGCTGAGGACAAACGTGATAGCAAATCGTCTTCTAATTTTTTCAACATGATTTTAAAATCGTTTTGTTGTTTGGTCAATTCAGCCTAACAACAGCATAACAGTATGGTTAAGTTATATTTATGACAACACGATTACTGAAGTAAAAATAAAAATTACTTTAAGTTGTTCCAAGTCAGGTCTTTCGGCTTTTACAACTTCAGCAAGTAACTGGTCTTCTAAACCATCCCTCGTCACAGTAAAATTGATCAAAGTCGTTTGAGCTTGCATTTCGGGTTTATAATGTGGATTAGCTAATTTCGTATGGAGTAAAAGCCGAAACTCTTGATTGTATTCAACTTCTTTATCTCCCATCTTAATGGCTCTAACCAAGATAAAAAATAGATATAAATAAAAATACAACAGTTTTAAAGACCTAGTACATATTTATAGTCAAATCATAAATAACGTTGCACACTATCGGCACATACTTACTTTCCTTTTTTTATGAGATTACGACCTAACAAAGGATCTAAAACTGGATCTAAATTTTCTTCAATATTTTCGAGCAGAACGATTCTTCCTGTTGTTATACTTTTTTCTAACTCTTCCATTGAACCTTTCTGTCCTAAACGCAACACAACTAAACTTTCTCCGTACTTCTGTTTGATCCACTTAACACCTTGTAACTGAAATATAAATTCCATACGATTTGTTATATACAACATAGGTAAATAATATATGATGAATAAATAAAACCTACAAAATATTATTACAAACAGAATCTCTTATATTCTATTTTAATAGAAAACTATTAAGTACTAGTATTTATAATCAATGATACTACATGGGACGTCGAACCCACATAATATGTTGTCTCCGTCTTACACACGTATGGCATAGCAAAAACGTTTTGGCGTGGGAAAGAACCGAGAAGGCTACAACAGTCATAACTAAGAAACGAAATTTTCACCACATATAAAGGAGAACTTTAGCTGTACAATATCGTTTTTATTTTTTTGTTATCACTTATACGAAAAAATCTTGTTATCTTATTGTTTTAAAATCGATTATTATTTGTGTTTTTCAAACTTTAATAACTTTTTTTGAATCTCTGATAACAAAAATAAAAAAGATAGTGCGAAGCCAAAGTTCGCCTTTTTATGTGGTGAAAATTTCGTTTCTTAGTTATGACTGTAGCGTTCTCGGTTTTTCCCCCGCAAAGTCGTACATTTGTAAGACGGAGAGACGAGCGTCCTCTTAAGAATAATGAATAAAAGTAATAAATGGATGGGTAATAAAAAAAAAATGAAATATATTACTTGTGGATCGATCATTAACGGCCAACGATCGGAATTTGATAATATAGTTGCGTTTTCTGTTGACATGCGATCACTGGGTAATCCTTCATTATTCCAAATCGCCACTTGAGTGTCATCAGTCAATAAAGTCAACGGATCTAACCCTTCAGTTATTGGTACAGCAGGCTACACATGTAATGTATTATAATTAAACATTTATTGTTATGATCGTGTGTTTTATACTTTTACACAATAGAAACAAACGAAACAAGTGTTTCAATTTGAAACTATGAAAAAGCACAGGATGATAATAAAAAATAATTTAAAATTAGTTAATTGTTAAATTCCTATTGTTTAATTAGTATTCTCAAAAAGAAAGTTATTTTTATAGAACCACTGAAAATGTAAGAATGTAGTGTTTAGTGTTTAAACTTAATGCATAATGTATATATTGTGCAATTGTTATTATAATACACTAATATATTATTTATTATAACTTGAATACAACTCGTTTTAATGTTACGAGAGACGTATATTTTTAGAACTACAAACTATAATTTAATTATAGTCACCAGAGTGCAGCTAAATGAAAATAATTACAAAAAGCATAAAGTGACTTACAACAATAACAAAATCTTTATGTTTGTATGACGTCCTCCTAATAGTTTTTAAGAATGTGCTCTCGCTTCTCACGAGACCTCTATGTGCAATTTAAATTAAATTGAACCACTTTAAATCAAAACTAAATTAGTTAATACATTAAAATGATAGTAAATATACGTACCCATTATAGAAGACTGCAGTATTCGTGTGTTCACAATGCCTTGAAAGGTTTCTATTCCGTACAACTATAATATATGCATTGTGCAAGAGACAAGAGTACAATAATTAATGTCCAAAAGAGTGTATACACAAGCTAAATGTTATTATTTTTAATTAATTGGTGACTTGAGATGAAGCGTTGTAATGTGTAAAACTGAACTACGCCTACTCTCTACAATTAAACCATATTGGTCTCGTACGACGTATTATTGTTTTTAAACTATTTTGATCCAACGAAATCCTTTAATTTCTATAAGTACCACCTATACGTACATCTAAGGTTTTTACAAATGGCGTCCATATTTTGTGTAGTAGTTCTTGTCTATAGTGTTTCGTGAAGCACCCAACGTACGATATGAACGCTGTGATGAGAAGAACGTCTCCCGGTAAAGTGGTACTTTGTTGCATAAAACTTAATAATAATAAAAAAAATTAATCCCTGAGAAATGTTGACACGCAATAATAACTATTTACCAAGCTACAGCTTCGGCCCAACGGACGTTTTCCGACCCCAAACCCCCAATCAGTCTGTTCGCTAATTCGATTGTCTTATTAGTGGCATCCGCTTCTTGTTGACAGTGTAGTTTTTCGGATGTGGCCTGCTCAAAGTCAGCTGTCAATTTGGAAAGTTGTTCTTCTAAAGACTGTCAGAAAATTGTTTTCGGATTAAATTTATATTTATATCATTCTTACACTAATTTAAAGTATTTCATATTTACAGCGACTTTTTTCTTTATAACTGCTAATTTTTCTTGGGCTTGAGCGAGTTCCAAATTGGCTTGAGCTAAGGCTAATCGTTTTGGTTCCACGTCACAATATACTTCGTAAAATTTTATAATGTTTATCACCCAAGCACAGAGACCTGAAATTGAATTATCGAATACAATGATAGGTAATGACTTTTGTTAAAAGCAGGGAGATTATTATGAAATTCACCAGCAGCTGCCGCGGACTTTGATCTAACGAATTCTGGTTCGAACTCGGGATCTTTTAAGTATGGTTTAATAGCTTTAGTAACTTCGGGATGAATGTTCTCTTTGTCATAGTTTATAAGTAAATCGAGAAAACTGTCCACTTTAGCCATCATAATCTGAATTGAAATTAAACAGCTTAGGTTAAATAGAAAACCAGTACTTATTCTAACTTCCAAAATATACCTAATGAATAATGTTTAATTACTTAGACGTTTATTTCACATTAATGTGTCATTTGACTATAATATTATACACTTAGGTAAATTAACCATAGTCTAAAATTGCTATAAATATGTATTTCTTATAATATATTGTAAATCAATATACTAAATAGTAAATAGTATACATTTTAAAAATAAATAATATATAATAATTGCAAAATATAATTGTTATAATCATAAAATTAAAACCGATTGAATTCGGTTTTTAACACTTTTCTTAAGTTTGGTTTCACGTCTGTCTGTGATCAAATCTTGCGCGCTCGATTTGAGGCACTTTTTGAAGATGAAAAATTCTGAAAATTGGTATAGACCTTGGTCATGGATGACAATACAATAATCCGTAAAAAAAATTTTTTAACTAAAAAGTAGAAAATAAAAAATTAAAAAGTTTCTTTTAAAAAACACTTTTCTAAAAAAACAAAAAATAATGAAAAATTTAAAAGTGTGTGGCGCTCTTACACTTGACATATTATACCACACACTTTTAAATTTTTCATTATTTTTTTGTTTTTTTAGAAAAGTGTTTTTTTAAAAGAAATTTTTTTTTAATCTTACCGGTTGGCATTACTTTAGGTACAATATCATATAACAAAAAATAAATCGATTTGATTTATCATTTATCATCATAAACACAATTTAATAATATAAGATAGGTAAAACACGTACTTTAGTAGCTTTCCAGCTACGGTCTTTGGGTATTTTACCGTTTTGCGCCAATAACACCATCACAGCAGCTGTTACATTTGTAACAACGCCGGGGGGTGATCCAAATGATTTTAATTCTGTCAAATTTGATTTGTTCAATGTATTTAAAGCTTCCTAGAGAAAAAAATGAAAGCAAAATATTACGTATACTATTTAAATATAGCAGTGATTTATCAGTAGGTACTAGGTATAAACCATTATAATTTAATGGGTTGTAATGTTGTATACTGCAACAGTCGTCTAAACAGAAAATACCCAACCCACTTAAGTTATACTGAAAATGTTTGGTAAAAGGAAGGTATCTATGTCACAAATCACGGATAATGTTCTACTCGTAGCCACTAATAGTATATTATTCTCATCAGGGGCAGCTCTAGAGATATGGTTGGGGGGGGGAAGTAATAATTTTGAGAAAACTTTCGATATTAGAAAATGATTTTTTTTTGTAATTTTGTTTTTAACAGTATATAATTTTTTAGAAATTCGGCTTAGGGGTGGCCCCTAGCCCCCCTTAATTCTCATTTCTATCACTTCAAGTAATAATAAATAGGCAAATTACACTATTTAAACTATTATGATATTTTAAATTTTTATAATTAAGTATATTGTTTCAATTTTTAGTTATTTTACCAAGTTTTTTTTAAAATCTAGTGTTATGTGTTTTTAACAGGGCTTGAAATCGGTTACAGGTTTTTAACCAATTTTGGATCTGGTAACCGCTTCCCGGTTTGTAGGCTTAAATTTTGAGAAGCGGTTAACAATTACCGGTAACCACCAAAATTAAATTAAGGGGTAATGTGTAGCGGTAACCTCTTTTTTAAAAGAGCCGGTCAATTCAACAAAATCGGAAATGTCAAAAAAAAATAACGTTATATTTGATCTTTATATTTTTATATATTTTTTTTTTTTTGGACATTTTAGTTTATTGTTTGATTAATAATTTTATTTACAAGATAATAAATTTAATGTAATAATAAGTACGAATAAAGATGGTATAGTGTTTGTAGCCGCAATAATAAGTGATAAGCACCAATCGTAGATACTAAGTACTATTCATTGGTTCATAGACATACTATATATAGAACATAATATTAGATGATTATTTATTTATCTATTTTATTTTATTTTTATTGACTCCGTTGATTAACACTTTTCTATGAACTTTTTTTCAATCGATGGTTATGGGTAATTTACTAATTTAATTTAAATTTATATTTATCCATACAGCTTGAAGCTATTAGCTTCAAATGATAAAATATAGTCATATAGGTATTTATTTTTAAATTTAGCTTGTCTCTGAATCATTTTATAAAATGGTTATTTGTTTTGCGTAAATTAAAGTAAAACTAACATTTTCCGAAGTAAACATAAATGCAAAAAACCGTTTCCGAAGTGGTTACCAGCAATCTTGAAGAATTAAAACCGATAACCTGCAGTAATCACATTTTTAGCGATCATTTTGGTAACATGTAATCAATTATCACTAATTCTAAAAAACCCCTAAAACCGGTAACCACTTACGAAAAATGTTTACCGAATTTTTCATAAGCGATTTCATGGCCTGGTTTTTAATATGCTACAATTAAAAATGTTTTATAGTTTTACATCAACAACAAAGAATATAACTGGTATGGATAAATGTATAATTTAACAAGTTTTTATTTCATTTAAATATTGCAGTTTTTAATTTATAAATAGATTTTAAATTTATATAATATTTAAAACAATTTTAATATACACTATCCAAATATTGGGGCATTTGTTATCTCAAGGTCAACCGGGAATTGGAGTCTTTGCACGTTTATGGATATGTAATAATATAATATTTATTTATTTTATTTTTGTTGAATATACGGGAGGATAATATAATATCATTTCAATTGTAATTTTTTTTTTTAAATTGATATTTTAAACACAAACTTGAGCAGCGAGTAGAGCTGGTTCAGCCTTTACGAGGTCTTCTTCGCAATCCCGTTGTTTTTTCTTTACTTCTTCTGCTATTGAACCAACTTTTTTTTCTTCGTCATCGGCTATATACAATTTGTTTAAATGTCTTAAAATGTAAAAAATATTATTTTTTCATTAACTTTAAATCCTACCAAATGCTTTTTCTTTTGATACTTTTTCGGTTTCAATACCAACTATTTGAATAAGTTTGTCGGCCGCGTCATTTTTAATTTTTAATTCAACTTCTTGAATTGCTAATTTTTCTTTTAAATTATCCACCTGAAATCGAAATTATATATAAATTACACATGTATTTAATACATTTTAATTACTAAATAGCAGCATTACAATAAATCATTTGACTAACCAAAACTGGTCAGTAACTATTAACTCATATGAAAAATCTGAAAATATTTTCAGATTTTGAACAGAGCGATACATTTATTAATTTTCAATGAGATTATTTTTTTTGTGAATTTATTGTGTCTATATACTTATTAAATACACATTCTAAAGTAGAACAATTGCTTGGAGAGACAAGTTATTTAAATTGTGTTTGTGATATTTATAGATATTTGAATTTTTTTAAGTTTTAGTTTTTTTTGATGTAATAGTATGATAATTTTTTGTTTTTGGGTGAAAATTTGAAAAAATAATACAAGATTACAAGTACAACGAATACAATTTTAAACTTCAACACATAAGACTTGAAAATGAGATAAGTACAAGTTTATTTACTAGTAATTAAAAAAAAAAGTTTAGTGGTAGTCACAACAATTTTATAAGCGGTTTGTGTTCAAATGTTGATGACATTGGGTATTATTAGAACGTTGAAACATATAATAACGACCTATCCTTGACCGATTTTTGTTATTTAGTTATTATATAAAAATAAATTTATTAATAAATATTGATTATAGAAGAAACTTGAACATTTCACTATTAAATAAATTATCATTATCACATAAATTTTAAAATATTCACACAAATTGTGGGCTATTGCCTATTTGTAGTGTTTTGTTACATATTATATAATATTACAACGTATATTTTTTTTAAATATATTCATCGATCTGCTTAGAAATCTAAAATATCATTAGAAATATATTATATAAGCTGCAGACGGACAGTCTCCGCTCAGATCGTTTTTCGTAAACAATGATTTATTATTTAAGTCAAACTCAAGTATTTAACACTCAGTTACAATGACCATAGAACTCTCAATTACCAGGTCAGAGGTTCCTACGTCTTAAAACCAACCGACACTGTACATTGTAAGTCTGTATAGAGTCTTGTAGAGCTAGTTCCCAGGTGATCAATATATTCAAATACAATAAATTACAAATCCTTTTTTTAATGTTAAGGAATAATGTAAACTAACTTGATTGGCTGTACTTTTCAGTTTTTCTAACCCATTTTCAAGTCGGTCAATTTTGCTAGCCAACTCTGCCGACTTTCGCCTTAGCAACTTGGAGTAGAGTGATATCTGTTCCAAAAACGATTTTGGAGTGGTGTAATTGTACCGGCGGTCGCTCTGTAAATATATACGCGATATGATGTTGACCTGCGTGTGCGCGTATCCCATGAACTTGGCGACGGATTCTCTGAAGTTTTCCTAGAACAAGTTCATACGACGGCGGATACGCCACAAAATAATTAATCACTGGCAATGATAAACGAGAACGATTTTGGTAGAAAAAGTAAAAAAGTAATTTACGGGGAGCACTTCGAGTTCCGATAAAAACTGATTGGACACTGACATGAGTGCTTGTTGTGGCCACTCATGAAACCAGTTGATGGAAGTGCAATTGACCAGAGCAGGGAATTTCCTGGAACGAACCCGCAACACCGATCCGACAGGCGAGAAGCACAACACGACTTTTAACTGCCGTCTAACCCGGTCGATGAAAAACTTCCAACAATTTTCGCGAGTGTCCAATTGTCCTGCGCCCTTGACCTAAATCGAGTATAATATTATTACGATTTATTACTTTTTTAAAACTATTTACAATATACTGTATTCTATTTTAGAGTAATTTTGTAGTCAATATATTAACTCGAACAATTTACCGATTAAACACTTGGCCAACCTGACTAATCATTGGAATAAAAAATATCTTATTCAATTTTATTGTAGTAAATTTTATATTAATGAAAATGATTAAATTATTAGAATTAGAATTCTATAAGAATGAAATTTTAACGAGTAGTTTTTGAGTTAGGTATATAACTCTGTGTAAGTAGGTAAATATGGATTAATTTAATATGGAAATTTAAGGATAATATGTCTATGGAAATGGGTTAAGTAGATATTGGGACTTAGGTTATTTGAAAATGTTAGTAATTATACGTTTGATCTATCAATATAAATAATTTGGAAAAATGGTTCTAGTATAATCAATAGGCACATACTTACTATACATCTTATATTACATGTCATATTTTGTTACTAGTATTACTATTATATTACTAGTTTATATTTTTTTACATCATTTTTAAGGATTATAATTATATTGAGTATAAAAATTTTAATAACTACTCATTAGAAGGTTAATTTAAATACCTTAAATCTACATAAATATTTTTGAGAAAACCATCCGCTAAATAATTTGCAGTAAAAAGGAGTTCTCAATTGAAAAATAGAAGTTTATATTACCAAATGATACTTCTTAAGTAGCACAAAAAATATCAGGAATTTGAAAATATTATGGTCTTTAGGTATACCCATGGCTGAAATATACAAGATTATTGCAATAGTACCCCCACTATATCATTTTATCACGTTAAAGAATTAAAATAGCAGCGTAAGGGGACGACGTATACTGGCTACACTATGATATTATATGCATGATATGGACCATACCTTTACGCTGCCATTTTATTTTTGTTTGTTTTGAATATGGGCTATGTGCAGGGCCGGATTTAGGAATGTGGGGGCCCTGGGCCCACCTTTAGAAGTAGATATTTTTTTCGATTAAGTACATTATATATTTAATAACCAGAATTTTGGTTATGAAAAAACAATGATTTGTTGTGATGAGATAATAAAGATAGTAAATAAGTAAATATATTTATTAGATTATAATAGGTATGCACTGTCAATTGTCATAATATTATATATAGAACTTAAATAATAATGGTTATCATAATATATTTATATGATAACTTTGCGAGATTTCGTCGCCGCAAATTTTTCAACAACTTGTGAAAAATTCAATGATCGTAGTAAGTCGTTTATACCGTTTAAGGAGGCTGCAGTCGATCGTGTTTTAAGGAAATTAATATAAACAATTATTTGCATATTGCATTGCTCGGCTATGAACATTATTCCGATGCTCGGAATATTGGTACGGTCTATACAATGTATAACAAAAGAAATAAAAAACGCGAAAACTGGTACTATTCAAAATTTAATTTTAGTGGTCAATTATACATACAATCATAAAATTACAACGATATTCAATACGTTTTTAAATAATAAAATAATAATAATTTTTTTTAAGTGAAAAATAGAACACACTCAATCCACTATTGCGATTAATGTACTGGTGAGAACTTGCTGTATATTATAGTTCATGACATTATTGATTAATAGATATTAATTATGGTATCTTATGGTATCTTATCTTATTCCGCGTTTAAAAAGACCATACCAGTTTTCCGTTAACCCATTATTCCAATCATTATAATTTATAAATATTAGTTATAATCACATATTCACATATCATAAAATATCAATTTTATATTTTGTGGAATTGTATCCGTAGGCCCGCATAATATAATATCGCCCGGTCGGACAGTCAGTTATATTGGACGGACACTTAATTTTTTTACAAATTTTTCAAACACAAATAAAATTTGAAAACAAATTTAAAAAATATATTCCAACAGTTATTAGATAAACTTCTCGTGTTTAATTTGGTATAAAAACTATGTTTCTACGACTTACGAGGCCTGAGTACTATTGGAACTACGAAAACATGTTTTTACGATCTATTTTTTTCTACCTACAGTGACGGCTCTTAACTACTATCGTACGTGCAGGAACAAGTTGTTATTAAACTATTATATTATAGATTATTAAATTATAACTAGGTTTTTATCGAGATGATTTTGAAAATCTATTTTTCCAGCTGTGGTATCAATAAATATAAAAAACGATATTTTTTATTTATATTTTTAATCGTGACACTAACAATTTTCGGAATATTAAAAATCACCACGATAAAAACCTAGTAGGTTATCTCGTTAATCAATCTTAATCCGTTTTCAAAATTGAAATCTGTCAAACCAAATTACTACAGTTTTGTCTAGATTTTTGGTCTAAATGCCACTTTTTTACACAGACAGCAGCCCCCTTTTGATTGAAAATCGTCGAATTACTAAATTTAATTTAATAAAAAATACATTGTACTAACCTGGATAAATATCACCATCAAAATATACATATACTTTATGGACTATGGTTGAAGCGTGAAAACTGAGTGTACCATCTATTTTTCCTATCGTCTACGGTCTACCGCATCAATATCATAAATAATTACATCTTTACATCTCACATGTTTTTATTTAGAACTTATTCAGCACGCATTTATTTATAACAGTCCACAACGGACGGCTTGCTATACAAGTTATAATATGTGTTTATTTATAACTGTTTTTAATTAAAATATCTACAAGTCTACAAGATAATAATAACATAATAACATAATAATCGATTATAAATTCACATTTGTAAGCTAGCTACTCACTTCTATAAATTCATTAGTTATTAAATATTAATAATAACATTTATTTATAAATTTATGACAATATCAATGATTGAATATTTTTATTCATGTTGTGATTTAAATCCGTTTTGAAAATGTTATATTGTGTTTTATACTTGGATGTAAAAAAAAACATTTAGTGGGGGCCCTCAATTTGTGGAGGCCCGGGGCCCCCTGCCCCCCCCCTAAATCCGGCCCTGGCTATGTGCAATAACCTTGTATATTTAAACCATAGGTATACATAACAATTCTAAAAATAAGAATTTGAATAAATGTACTATTAAAGAGAAAAAGGGGGGTAAGCATGCTTAAAAGATCACATTGCATACACATATTATGCACAATATTAAATAAATTAACATACCTAGTATATTATACTTACATTATAACGCAATAAAAATTAGGGGTAGAAGTCAAAAAATATGCTAAAGTAATCACCCTACCGTGATGCCAACCGGTTCGTTTTAATTGCATATAAAAATATCATTACGACTATCTCGATAGTATCTTTTTCTCAATGTACATATTATTATTAAGTCAACATTTCATACCTCCTTCTATTTATATATATACCCATTTACGTCTTACCTACCTATTGTATTGTATTTTTATTTTATTACAACGTTTTATAAGATAATGTAAAATCTTACTTCGTTACGAACGCCGGCTATAATGTTCTCGACCTCATCGTCGGGAAATAGTTCTGGAATTTCGCCTGTCGAAAGCATGTCGTTGATCAGAACTAGAAATGATTCCGATGGTACTTGAGCGTCAGTCATCAAGAAGACGATTCCTACGTTTTTCAAACCCGACTTCAAATACAAACTGGATAATTCCATCTATGGATAATTGTATCAGTATAATATACTAAGATAAGCAAGTTAATGAAAAAAATTATCTTAAATTATAATTTAATAATATAAGCAATATAAGTTCAACTCAAAGATTTTAAAGTTTATAAATATTAAAATTTAATTTTTTTTTACCAATTAAATTTTATTGCACAATAGCTATATTTTAGTGGCTTAAGGAATTCCAGATTAGTAGAAAATTCAGTTTCAACTAAATTATTTAATCAAGAAATATTTATTTGTATATTTTTATTCAAAATAATTGTATAAAGCATATAATATAATTAAACATAAATAATCAAATAATTAAATTTGACTGCTGTTATAGATATATAATATACACCATGATTTCAGTACTTTAACTAAGTAGTTAAATTATTACTTTAGTTAGAAAAGTAACTAACTACGAGTATTCAGTTTATACTTTTTAAAAAAAAACTTTCCAACTAGTTAATGCCTACCTTCAAATATATTACTGTTTACTATGAATAACCAAATAATTGTTTTCATTTAGAACCTCACTTTAAGATCTAAAAGCCCGTAGCCTTTGCGTAGTTGTATTTGAGCTACCTCCAAGCTGGAAATAAACGCAGCCAAACGTGCTAAACACTGTTTTCCGCTACCTCCAACCCCTACCAATAAACAGCTACCCCTTGGCGATTCCAATATTCGGTTTATTCTATAAATGTACACAAAAACCATTACGTTAATATTCAATCACATCCAAAACTATAAGCCCATGGTTCTCCCTGCAAACCTGCAAATGTGCATCATAGCGTCTTCGAACAACACCAAATTCATGGCAGCGACCAAATCATTGTATAAGTTTAGTGCTTCTTCCAGTAATTTTGTAAGATTAGTCCAATTTCTAACAGATGAATACTTAGGTTCACCAATACCTTGAGCAAAATGGCAATAAATATTTGGTTTTTCAAAAACTGCACATTCGTCGATTTCCTATTAATAAGAACTGTGATTTTAGTTTAAAATATTTGAATCATATTATATATTATTAATAATATAAAATGTATAAATATATAATATACATTTCAGAATTATAATAACTAAACATAATAAAATGAGTATTGATGATAGGTGCACAATTGGAAATTAAAAATGTAATTCTTAAATTTACTTCTTTTTGTTACCATTAGCCAGACAAATAACTTAGTTTTAATACCATTGAATTATTCTCAAAAGAACAAATTATAAAATAATGTTGTCACAATTTGATTTAAAAATGACATAAGTACATGTTTACCTTTAAAGTAAATGCATTTTCTGCGTTGGATGATATATTTATATTTATTATTTTAAACTATATATAATGGCTATTTATATATTTTAAACAAAACAGTTTATTTAACTTCAACTATTAATTTAGTTGTTGGTTTCTATAGACCTAGCACTTAACTTAATTGGATCAAAAAAAAAAAATAATGTTATTAACTTCAAACATTTTAAATATTTGTATATCAATATCAATTTAACTTAACTCATTTAAAAATATCATTATTTTGCCCAGCTTTTAATAAAAGTAGTGTTATGTGTAAGTTTGTTGTCTACTTCTATACTTATAAAGGCACTTTTATAAATATTTGATACCATATTAAATAATAATAATTAAATAGTATTTGAATGATACAATCTATTACTCAAATATCATCTACAAATAGCAATGTTTAACATTTTGAAAGTACATCAAAAAGATCTATTGGTATTTAAATAGTTATTTAATACAATGTTAGTATTTTAAAGCTAGCCTTTGGTAATTGGACATGTTCAAATGTTTTACTATTAAAGTAAAATATATTCAGTTTATAGGTACAGGTATAATAGTGAACAACTTACATCAAAGAATTTTTTCAACGCGTCTGTCTGTATTTTAGTAAAAGCGTCTGAATCTTTGTCATCGACTAATTTATCTGAGTAAACTCTTTGGCATTCGTGCATCCACAGTCGCATTAGATCTGCACTGCAGTTCAGACACTCTCCAGTACTGAAGAGCAGACCCTAAAATACATTATTTAAAAAATAATATACCTCATACTCACGTTATTAGTAAAGAAAATAAATGTGTTTTTATTTTAGAACATGTAAATACTTGGAAAACGTTTGATAAATCTCTCAGATTGAATATGTAATGAAACTTGGTGGCGGTAGGTAGGAAAACCGAATTAACTTTGTTGTGTAACCAGATTGTAGCTTCGATTACGTTATCAGCTAGTTTTGAGGCGGCTTGTGGGATTCGATACTCGAAATTTCCGAAATGTTGATTTAAAATAGAAGCATAAATCATCGTCAACGACTCCGACCCTGGAAAACTGTAGGGTAAGACTGATTAAAGTTGATTGAAAACATTTGTATACTAATTGGGTTGTGTTAATACATTAAACAAAACTAATCACTAAATTTAAATTTATAAATACGGTTATGAGCGGTGTGAAAGAAATACCTATAGGTGTTGAATTTAAGCTCCATGAGATAATAATGAAATAATCAGTACCTATCTATAAAAAATCTAAAAATCTACTTATGAGCACTACTCCAGGCACCTAGGTTTCATACTTTCTTCACAGATATTAAACTGTATCAAATTATTTTGACTATATCAATCAAAAGCTACTAGCCAATGTCCTTAATAATTAACAAATTTAATTTATTAATTGATAATATAAATAATATTAATTCTAATTTTTTTTTTATTTGGCATTTAGCACCTTCTATTTTAATTTTTTGTTTGTATTAATTTTATACACTTTCCATTCATATTATTTGTAATATAAAATTGTAATATTGGCACAAACATACATTTTTTTAATATTTTTAGCTTTCATATCATATAATATATAGTATAGTTTAATATAGGTGCTTATTTTACACTTCACGGTTGGCACAAATTATATATTTGTATACGAGTATACCTATCAGTATTAGTATTTTTGTAGTAATTTTTTTTTTTGTATAATTTAAAAACCAAAAAGTATTTTTACTTAATGAGAAGTCACACATTTTTCGACAGTTTAGTTTCAATGAATAAATTGATTTTTTATTTCTTATAGTGTCTAATAAGCAACATACCTACCTAACACATAAGTCATAGAAATAAACAATCATTCTGTAACATTTCGTATTATTGTAGGCTGTAGTCTCGCTTAAAATTTAGGTACCTACTTTTATAAATTTAATTCACTTTAAATTTTACTTATTCGATTGATATAAATAAAATAATAATGTGCTCCGATCTAGTTCTTTTCTGCATCCTCCCCCTCCAAATTTCACATTGTTTTGAAAACATTTATAAACAGAAATGTAAGACACCGTGAGAGTAGGTATAGTGTATATTATATATATATATATATATATATATCATTTTTTGAGTGAAAATAGTGAAAATAAGATCATTGATTTTTTAATAACGAATAGATTGTATTATTATACCTCACAGCGATGACACAAAAATGCCGCTGTAGTCGAGGATTGATTGTAAAACTGCCTGCAGTTGGATTCATGCAGGACACATATTGACAGTTGTGAATATCTTTTAACGACAATTTAGTTCTGTCGTACCAGTGGCCGTAGTCCAAATGTTGTCGGATCAGAGTGTGTGGTTGAACAGTTCCGTAGCAATCTACCTGCAATTTTAAACAGTTATCAATCATACAGTCATAAAACAGAAAACCGTGGTTTTCACCCACTCGCATGCACATTTGTTTTTATGCTTCGACATTCTTTAGAAAAGCGTGTATTGTATTAGCACAGTAAATTACAAGTCGTTATCTAAACGTTTACTAAATCCATAATAAGTCACTAATCTTTATATTTAAATTCATATTGTCAACTTTAATTATTAGTATCAATAATATTGTTGTTTAATAACTATTTTACCTCGGGCATATTCATGTCGTCTAAAAAGTATATGAGTGTTTTATTCCCCGGTGGTCCATAATTTCGGCCAGCTTTTTTTTCTAGAGGTTTTTCGAGTATTTTTTGTAACATCTCTGTAATTAACCAAAACAAATAAAATATATAAACACGGGAAAAACTATAAAATATATAAGTATAAGTAAATCAGTATTTAACACCGAACTTCATCGTAACCAGGGCTCGTAAGTTCCTATGTATTTACATAATATCAATACTGCCAACTCGTGTTTAATGGCAAGTGACATTGAATACTTTCCGAGGTAATTACCGAGTTTGAATTAAATCATAATTTTACCTATATACTCGTATATTATATAGGTATATTTTTACTGCACATTCGAGTAATTTTTTTTGGCACGAACGCAATTGGACTTTACAAGCCCTGTCACCATTATGACGATAATAGTATCATAAAGTCGGATGCGCAATTACCCGAAGTCGTATAGTAGTTGAACGGTATATTGGTCACTGCATAGTTTTCCGAGAGACTGGCGAGTTTTTCATTCATCAATACCGTTTTTCCGCAGCCGGCGCTCCCTACTAGCATCACTGGGTGTTTGTGGTCCATGAGAAGGTCCACAAAAAATCTGGTTCTTATCGATTCCGGCGTGTGGACCAAAGCGCTCTGAGGAAAACGAAACAGCGGTATGAAAACGTCCACCGGTCGTCAATGAACATTATTATACCTGTAGGGGCATGTCCGAATCCAGTTCGAATTTCGGGATGACATGAGTCCAGGGCAGGAACTCCTTGGTTTCCGTGTCGATGTAGTAATCGAACACAGTTCCCTGAGACGGATATTTAATGGTTTTGAATTCGGCCACCCACCATTTGGAAAACTCAACTTTGTAATCGACCACCTGATAGTGGCAAAAATAAGAACAACAGTTTTATTCGTTGGCGTAGTCTCCAGGTGGTTTTCATATAATCAGCGGGTACCAAAAAAATTACAAATTAAAAACCATTTAAGGGGTGAGAGAGTCTTCATGTAATTTGAATTTTGTGATAAGTATATACTTGGTAGAATACTGTTGGTTATACATAGTTTAATACATTTAAATATTTAATCAATGTCATATAACTCTGAAGGAGAATGAATATCCTGAATATATATATTATGTATATCGCCCATATATTGTTTATTGGGGTTTGGGTTTGTTGACATTTTCGGAGCTCTAATCTCCCTCCCTCTGATTTGCGTCACTCTCTTCGTAGGTACTCATTGACAGCATATATTAAATATACTATATATACTATATACTATATATACTATATACTAGTATATTTAATTTATGTTGACAGCCACTACCATACCGACAGCTTAGGTATCTTACATGATCGGTTGCGTTTATTGATCGTATATTGGTGTGCTTTTTGTTGCCAGTGTACATTTTTTTCAAGGGGCAAATGAGCTATTCTTCGATAAAATATTTTTCATGGTGGTAAATAAGTGCAGCCCGAACACCGTGATAGTAAAACAAAAAAGGTACTCATTACAACTGTTCAACTGTAAATATCTATACCTAACATATTTTTTGAGGTCAACTCGTAGGGTTAAAAATTTGAAAATTTTCATATTACTGTTTTCTTCGTTCTCACCTGTTCTTGGTATATAGCAGCTCCGAACGACCATATGCACACAAACGTGAAGTATAATTCGTACCATTCTTTCGGACAGTCCGTCGGTGTGTTCGCCGGCACTAAAATGCACTCGAGCAAATGACACAGCATTTGTATATGTGACATCTCTGTTATTGGTATGATTTTTTTGAACCTGTTACGAATGTTTTCCAGACACGGTGGTATGTATTTATCGAACAAGATTACGAGGTTACTCTTCTCCACGGCGTGCTCTCTGGTCTCTATCCAACTCGTCACATACCTGTAAATTACGTGAACTGATAATGTAAATTGTTTTGATTTTGTAAATAGATATTATATATTTTTTTTACGGATTCCATCCCAAGTCTTGCGGGTTTAAGTATAAAATTCCCGCTCGCGATACGGTGGCTGGCGTAGCCGTCCGCAAGTTGGATATTTCAAAAATGAGTCTCATCGAAGGAGTTAAGGCAATACGTTCGTTACTGGCTAACGTTAAGACCTATGCAACACAGATGATTCAAATCGATCGACTATATTAATATGTATGTACTATGTCAATACCTTGTTGTCGTCCATTACAGTGTTCAATGATTCAATCCACATCGGATCAATATCGCCGTCCAATAGAATCCACTTGGGAAAGCTGTTCGGGATGTTAGCTTGTTCTCTCATTATAACAGAAAATAAACCTTTAAACGATAAAAAAAATAAATCACTTTTTTGTGGGTTTCAAACTAATTACACTCAATTATGATGTCATAGATAGGTAGGAAATAATAATAATAATTATTATATATATTTTATTTTTATAATGTTTTTAAAACACGATTAAATATTGAAATGTACCGTCTTTCCACTCTCGGGTAGCAGGGTTAATGACACCGAAAAGTTCATCATTGGTTACTGCTTTTGGGTTCAAATCGTTGTAAATCGGTTTTCGTTTTATATTTTGGTAAGTCCTAAATAGCGTTTTCCAAACTTCAGTTTTGCCAGTGCCCGCATTTCCGACTACGAATACAGAATGACGAACTTCCAAAAGCTCTTCTAACTGTACAACCTGTTCATTTAAACGTAATTATTACGCTGACACTATATCTACACGACGGTCAGTACTTTGAGTATGAAATTTTCTTCTGGTTGCAATAGTAAGTCAACGGCTGCTTGTTTGACGGTCTTTTCAAAATCCTGATCCCTTTTACGTGGCACGTCCAGCGAAGGAAACAAATCCCCAATCAGTCCCATAAATACCGGGACATCGTCGCTAATAATTTTTGGTATGTTGAAATCTCTTAAAGCTCTCATCAGCACTTCTTCTTCGACCCGTCCGGGATCACCTCTCTACATTGTTTTTACAGTATTTTAATCTTGGGTTTTGTGTTACGAATAGTATAAATGGTTCACCTTCAAAGAACCAGCCACGACCAACACAGACTTTATGGCCCTTAGACCCCAGTCATAATGATCCTGCTTGGAAAGCAGCTCTTTACACAGCGTATACAAAGTTATAAATTTCCTCGCAAGAATTTTTGCTTCTTGAAATCCTTCGGCAACCAACATTATTTCACAGATTAGTTCAAAATCTGGTACCACCATGGCGCACGGTCTATAATAATATTTAAATTGCTTATTGAGTAAAAGTAGCCAATTTCTTTTTATCAAGAGATAAATAATAGTATAATTTATTCTATTTACTTACCTAAATAGTGCTTTTAAATTCTCCGGTAACTCTGTTCTACCAGCATAACCGGGATTCATCGTAATAAAAATTCCAACAGACGGAATTAAACTTATTTTTTCTCCCATAAAATTAAACGTCATTGCTTTTTCTCGAATCGCATCCTAGGAGGGGAACATAGTATTTACTATTATAGTCATATTAATGTCTCACATTGAAATTTGAAACGAAGAAATAATATTATATTTTAATCATATGGCTGGTAATAAAATAATAAAAGTACTTTAACCCATATTGAATCATCATAATAATATTTTAATACCATATACCTGAATAGATTTCACTTGGACAGCGACCACTGATAACACTTCGACAGATATTCTGTTAAACTCGTCGAAACAACCCCAGGCCCCTGTCTGAGCCAATCCTTTATAAATGTTGCCACACGACTAAAATGTAGGTACGATTTGTTTGTGAAACAGTTATTTTTATTGGTCACGCTTTTCAATTAAATATATATATAACATAATATTATACCTTGTAATCCATTTGCTCTGAACAATTGAACACGTAAACCATGACGCCTAGAGCGCGACCAAGATCTTTAGTTGTCTCTGTTTTTCCCGTTCCAGCGGGTCCGGCAGGTCCTCCTCCCATTACCAAATGTAACGACTAATAAATGAAAAGAAAAAAACAATTTCTATTATTTCACTCGCAAAATGATCGTAAATTTTGTGGTACTTACTTGCGTTAGGGTTATATAACATCTGTCCGTCAAAGGAGTGATTACCAAACGCGGTGTGTTTCCTAGATATTCGTGACTGTATCGAAATTGTGCATCGCAGATATTAGCGAAACAGTCTTTTTCCTTTTCGTCCCACCTAAAATGAATAGCATTAAAATCCATGAATATATTTAAATAGGTAATATACCTGTATACTGTTTAGGTAGTTTTTATTTTATCACGATCTACTATCATTAACTCTGTTAATTTTATAGTATTAAGCCAAGTAGCTAGAAAAATTATTATTTATAATATGTGTCATATTATGTCATAATATGTGTAATATGATATATATATATATATATATATATATATATATATATATATTATGTATATTTAATAACAACACATAATTTTAATTGTATGGTTTGTATCAAAAGAATTTTCTAAAATATTTGATGTACAAAATATATGGAACATGCAATGAATATATTTTTTTATTAATTATAATTTAAAATATATAGATAATTTGAGTAATAGGTAGTCTGTAGTTGAATTTTAGGTCAACGCTCATTAAACGTGTCCATTAAAAAATAAATTTCTCTTGCACTTAGAATATTTTATACATTGTGATTTTTAGAAAAGCATTCTACTTCAGATTATTATAAAACCTGGGAGTTGCTCTATTGCAGTGTTTTTCAAAGGGTGTGCCATGACATTTCAATGGTGTGCACTGTGCCATGATTTCCGTGTTTTCACATATGTGTTTTCCGGTCCTATAAAGTACTTATTTTTTGAAAATAGACAACATTCCAAAATATGCCGTAATTTATAATAACTAATAATAATATGTGCTAGTAGGATATAAGTTACTGTAATGAGTGAATTGAATTCAATGATAAATCATTGCATAAGAAAAACCATTCTGAGCGGAAACCGTCCGTCAGGCTATATATATTTCTTAGGATATTGTATTATATATTTAAAAATATAATATTGGCTATTGGCTATTACAATAGTGATATATTATAATATTTCAAACTAATTTTTCCATAAACAAATCACAAATAGGTATTATAGTTATATAATATTACTAGCTGTTCTATAAACTTACAAGTAAACATACCGATGTACCGTTGAACGTTGTAAATAGGTTCATCGTTAAAATACTACATTAAAATTAGTTTAAATATTTTAAAAATGTATTAAATTTAATTTTGTATCGAAAATTGTAATCTTAGTAGAAGTGGAATATGTTATATGTAAGCATAGTATGTAGTATATAGTTATATTAGAGTATAATATTTGTATTATGATATGTATACTGGCGTACGTGACTACGGAGCCGGACGCTCGACCAGGAATCTGCTGATCCAGCGATTCCCACCCTGGCCGTTGTACAGAAGGGCCCCTTGGTCACGGCCGCCTCGGCAGTCTCGTAGACACAGGCGTCCAGTCAGAACCTCTTTTCATTTTTATACAGAAAATCATTTTAATAAGTCAATAAACACATCTTTTAATCTTTTAAACAGAATCTTTGCATCATTTCTTTAAAACACGTCCCTAATCTCTAAACTAGGAATAACAGCGCGCCGGTACACATCATTTGGTGGCAGCGGGAGTCAACAATTTTATTATAAAATAAATTGTTGAAGAACCTACGTGTACTACCGCCTTTCCATATAGTTGGAGAAACGGACAATCGTCAGAGCATCAAATATCAAGAGACTCCAGAGCATCTTAGAACCAAAACGAAGAATTTACAGAGCATCGAGATTTTCAAGTACGTGTATTCATGTTATATACAATACGACGTAGGAACGTCGCAAACAAATTACAAAAACCGCAAACGTCAGCACCAGCAACGGCAACGCCGAACGCCGCCGCCGCCGTCGCTGAACCCGTCACCACCACCGAGAGCCGCCCAACGACGAACGTAACCGGAGACCGTCGTGTCAACACGACGCATCAGCCGCACCGATCGCGCACGGAGTGTCAAGGACGTCAGCGCCGCCGCATTCGTGATATATCGAAGACGCCGCCGCCGCCGCCGCCGTCGACGCAATAACTAGGTCACAGCTGTTGTCATCGCGTATCAATCAAAACAAACGGTTATCACCATCAACAATGTTATCATATATAGCCGCCTCGTTCTTGTAAGTTACCACAATTTTTTTTTTAATAAATCGCAACGCATAAACGCAGGATAATTTATTCGGTTGTGCAGTAATATAAAATTAGTAATAGTACGATTTAAGGGACGGGAAAAATAAATCGAAATCAATATAATAAAAGCGATCGTAATTAATTTTGTACTATTATAATTTTATATTATTAATACTTTAATTTTGGTGTACGCTTTTCTTTTTATTATTATTTTTTTTTTATTTTTTTTATTTGCTTTTATTTTTGTTATTTGCATGGAATCGGAAAGGTAATTGAGGAAATTAATTAATTAATTAATTAATTCTATATTGTTTGGTTATTTACTCGGGCTATTTATTTTATATCAATCGAAGTCTATGTCAGATATTGATCAAAACGAAACCAGTAGTTCTGAAAATCTTATAGATCTAGAAAGTAGTGTTAGTGTCCCTTCTAGCGGGGAATTATACGAACCTTCTGGCGAATTCGACTCCGATGATAGTAGGTACAGCAATATATCTCAGTCGGAACATGTTTTAGATAGAACGAACAATTCTATAGGTATCACTGACTCGGTTCTCGAAGACGCGAGAAACTTATTTAAATTAACTCTTAATCAAAATCAAGCAGTAAAGAAAATAATAATGTCAAAGTTTATGACAACACACCAAGCTTTAAACTTGATCCCTTTGTTCAATGGGGAAAATGCTGATGATAGTTTTGCATTTCATAATGCATGCGAATATGCGTTACAAAGCATCGACCCAGCAGAGAAAGAAAATCTAATTAGGGGTATAACAACTCGATTAATAGGCAAGGCCATACGTCCATTTAGACATAAGAAACCTACCACTTATAAGGAACTTAAGGAAACTTTAGACCTCACTGTTAACAAAAAACAAACGTTAACGCATTTACATTCGAAATTATCAACATTTAAGATAGCTTCGGGGGAGTCTATTCAGCAATATAGCGACAGGGCTGAGCAATTATATTACGACATTATAGAAGCATCCATGGCAACAAATGAAATTTCTAATACCGACGATTTATCCAAAATAACAGAAAGGCAAGTTTTATCAGCTTATACCGAAGGGTTACCGCATGATACAAAGATTTTAGTAAAAGCTAGTAGACCGAATAAATTATCGGAGTGTGTCCAAATTGCATTGGAAGAAGAAACTTCACGTAATAATCAAAAAGAAATTCGCAAAAACATTAATGATTATAAAAACAATAGGACTGATTTTAAGCCAAGTAGTAGCTACGGAAGCAAGACAAATTCGGTACAAAAATCTAACAGTAGACCACCTGGTGCATGTTTTCGTTGTGGACGTACAAATCATCAGGCAAAACAATGCCGTGCATCAGAAGCCGATCAAGCCCGTTACAGAGAATCGCAAAATAAGAGTAAAACGGAAACAAAAGCTATCAGAATAGTTACGTGCAACTATTGTAAAAAACCGAACCACACTATAAGTGAATGTCGCAAACGAAAGTACGTTAATGAACGTAAGGCACAGGAGCAACAAAGCACTTCGTCGGGAAACGAACAAACGCCGGGTCCAAGTGGCGCTCGCCCGGTGGGGGATATCAAAACAGCCACTCTGAACCTGCAAGGGCTTTCTATTTCCAGGCAGAATTAATTAATAAGCATATCACATTAAAAATTCCTCAGTGCTTGACAAATAGTGTTAAATTACTTATAGATACTGGTAGTGATTTAAATATGATAAAATTATCCACTTTAAGAAATGAAGTCATGGTTGATGAAACTCAAAGTTATCAGCTAAAAGGAATCAATGAATACTTAGTACGCACGCTAGGTTCCGTAATCCTCAATTTAAATCTTGGCACTGAAACCCTTACAACCAAATTCCAGGTAGTCCATGACGATTTCCCAATCCCTCATGAAGGTATTCTAGGAAACCCGTTTCTTACCGAAAATCGTATCGCAATAGATTATTATTCGTCCAAAATCTTTCAAATGAATACCGATCCTCTCAAACTTTCGCCGCGTTCAGAAACCATCGTACCAATCGCTAGCACGAGACCGGAAGGAACAGCTTTAGTAGTCCATTCACAAGTTCTACAAGGAGAAAACGTCCGTCTCGGAAATGTGGTAAACACAGTTAAGCATGGAAAAATATTAGCTATTGCCATCAACACTTCAGAAGAGCACATTACGATACCACCTTTAAATATAGAAGAAATCGAATTTGAGGAGTTCCGAGAAACCTCCACGTTGATCGCGACAAATACTGACGAAATTACGGAAGACACGCATCGCATTAGTCGCATTCGGGAAGCTATACTATATCGAGAGTTAAATGCGGAAGAATCAAATAGTCTCTGGAAGGTGATTAGCGAGTACCCAGATATTTTCCAGCTGGAGGGGGATTCATTCCCTTCTACCGATGCAATACAGCACGAAATCCACCTAAAGGAAGGAGCGAAACCTGTCAACGTTCGACCGTATAGATTGCCATACGCTCACCGTCAAGAGATTGTCAGACAAATGGAAGAGTTAGAAAGTAACAATGTTATACAGCCTTCCGAGTCCCCTTGGAACGCACCACTCATCGTGGTCGCGAAGAAACCAGATGCTCACGGAAACCCAAAATACCGAGTGTGTGTTGATTTCAGACGCCTTAATGAACTGACCGTTGGAGATGCATACCCTATACCTAGGATAGACGAAATCTTAGACCAATTAGGCCGGTCGAGATACTATACCACGTTGGATTTGGTTAGTGGATACCATCAAGTATCAATAAAAGCAGAAGATCGTCAAAAAACAGCGTTTTCTACTGACAAGGGCCACTATGAGTTTCTGAGAATGCCATTCGGGTTAAGCGGAGCTCCTAGTACGTTTCAACGCTTAATGAACACAGCTCTAACAGGGATCAACGGGACCAAGGCCTTTGTATATTTAGACGACATAATTGTTTACGCTTCAGACTTACAGGACCATGAATCCAAATTACGGGATGTATTTTCAAGACTCAGAAAGTTTAATCTTCGCTTACAACCATCAAAGTGTCAATTCCTACAGAGAGAGGTGATATATCTAGGACATCTCATTACAGATAAAGGAGTCAAACCTGATCCGGGAAAAATCCAATGCGTACAAAACCACCCAGTTCCCAGAAATACAACGGAAATCAAGCAGTTCTTGGGGTTATCTGGCTATTATAGGAGATTTATTAAAGGATACAGCCAAACAGCGAAACCACTTACAGCACTTTTAAGCAAAGACGTACCCTTTGAATGGTCGACCGAATGTCAAGGAGCTTTTGAAACGCTCAAGCAGAAACTCGTAGAAGCACCAGTATTACAATATCCTGATTTCGAAAGACCATTTATCCTAACCACAGATGCCAGCCAATTCGCAATTGGAAGTATTTTGTCACAGGGTACACCGGGACAGGATCGACCTATCGCATACGCATCCAGAACTCTTAATAAAGCCGAACAAGCATATAGTACGACCGAAAAAGAGTTGCTAAGCATAGTCTGGGCTGTAAAGAACTTCAGACCTTATTTACTTGGGCGTCAATTCAAAATTTACACGGACCACAGACCATTAACTTGGTT